AGGTCCAGCCAAGTTGACAACTACCACTGTATACCTGACCCATGCTGTGGTATTCTCAGTTGCCTCATATGGATGTGAAAGCTGGACAACGAATAAGGAAGACTGAAGAATTATTGATGCATTTGAATTGTGGTTTTGGCAAAGAATGCTGAAAATACCATGGACTGACAGAAGAACGAGTTATTTGTCCAGGAAGAAGTGCAGCCAGAATGTTCCTTGAAAGCAATAGTGGCCAGACTTTGTCTCACTTACTTCGGTCATGTTGTCAGAAGGGACCAGTCCCTGGAGAAGGATATCATGCTTGGTAAAGTGGAGGGTCAGTGAAAAAGTGGAAGACCCTCAATGAGATGGATTGACACAGTGGCTGCAATGGTGGGCTCCGGTATAGCAAGGATTGTGAGGCTGGCACAGGACCGGGCAGTGTTTCATTCTGTGGTACACAGGGTCGCTGTGAGTCAAGGCTGACTCAACGGCAGTCCTTTACAAACATTTAATCCCTAATCCCTCCAACATCTGTGAGGTAGGAACCGTTATCTTTTCCACTTTTCAGATGAGAAAACAGGCTCACACAGGTCACACAGCCTATCAGAGGCAGAAGTGGGATTTGAACCCAGGCCACCTGGCCCCAGAGTCCAGGCTTTCAGTCCTCACTGCCTTCCTTGTTTTTGTCCCTCATAGGATGGCAAGATTGTGGATGACTTCTGGATGGTGAGGCCCCTGACCAACCGGATGCTGTACCTCTAGGGATGAGGGCACTCTCATCAGGAACTGTAGGCCTTGCTGACCTGGGTGCAGTCCCATGCTACCCAGACCTGGGTGGGGAGTCAGGGTGGGTCCCAACTCTCCCGCCCTCTTGAGGCTCCATGTAGGTGGACACAGACCTGAGGGAGCTGGGATAGCTCCCTCTTCCTGGAGATGTGGAAGTCCTGGCAGGCTGTGGAGGATGGGCAGGTGTGTGGGCGCAGAATGAAGCAGGGAGGGTCTCAGGCAGCCACAGCCCTGTCCCCCTGCCTGCCTGACTGGACTGGGCACCCACAGGGCCTTGGGAATAAAGAGGCTTGTGCCTGTGGCTTTGTGGATTTTGCATTTCTGCTGGACATATACCCACCTCCTCTCTTGTCCACCCTGGAGAGGGCATGGACCAACCTGGAGTCAGCAGGGTGGGCACAGCTGTCATGACACCAAGCACCAGCAGGTGGCAACGGTGGCTTTCTCCTCCCAGCCTAGCCCTCAGAGCTAGCTCCTGCTTTAGTAGCCCAAGGACTATTACTGACCAGAGCCCCTTTGTACCTTAGTTTCCCTGCCACTGTCTTGTCTGGGAGGGGGAGGGGTAATATTTGCACTCCTGCCTTTCACCTGGGGCAGCTGACAAGCTTCATGACGTCATAGACCTGTCCCTTTCCTCCCACTGTTTCTTCTCTCCCTTCTGTTTCCTTTCTTCCTTTCAGCCTTCCATTCATTCAGCCATGGCTTGCTGAGCATCTCCATATGCCAGACCCTGTTGTCAGCACCACACAGACAGGTCCCTGTCTACCCATGTCGATGGAGAGTGAACAAGATAAGTAAAATATGTAACAAGGTAGAGTGAGGTACGGACTAAGAAAAAGCAGGAAGGCGGGGTAGAGAGTGGCAGTGTAATTTTCTCTAGGGTGGTCAGGGAGACCTTAATGAGAGGGTGACGTGATCTGAAGGCAGGAGGGAGGGAGATAGATGTGTGATGGACATCTTGGGGAAGAGTTCCAGGCAGAGGGAACAGCCAGTGCAGAGGCTCTGAGGCAGGAATGTGCCTGCCCGCTGGCGGGTCAGTAAGGAGGCCCTTGTGTCTGGAGCAAGGTGAGCGACGGGGAAAGTGGAGATGAGGTCGGAGAGAGGATGGAGTCAGGTCATGTGGACTGCATGGACCATGGTCAGCACCTTATCCTTCACCCAGAGTGAGATGGAGCACTGGGAATGTTCTGGGTGCAGGACAGATGGGTGGACTCTGACTCCCGGGTCCCAGGGCTGAGGCTTTGTTCAGGGAGAGGCTGTGTCCCAGGCTCTGGATCTGTGTTGGGCCCTTTCAGCCTCCTGATCCCAGCCCCACACAGGCCTCCTTGCAGATGTGGGAGCATGCCAAGTTTCTCCCCTTAGGGCCAGGCCACTGGCCGTTTGCTCTGCCTCGTCCTGGAACTGGCACCTTCTCAACCTACGTCTCAGCCCAATGTCTTGTCCTCAGATGCCTTCCCTGACCAGCCCAGCTAAAATAGCCTCCGTCTCTCTGTCCCGTGTCACTTCACTTACAGCTCACCTTACTGATCGCTGCCCTCGAGTTGGCCCCCGACCCGCAGTGACCGCAGGCTCCAGTCCTGCATTGTCCCCGTGGTCACACGATCACACCGCTGTGACCCGTGCAGTCTGCATTGACTAATTTTCAGAAGTCAGTCTCCAGGCCCGTCTCCTAGTCTGTTTTAGTCTGGAAGCTTGTTCAGGATCACAGCCACACGCTTCACGTTCTTCAGTTCTCTTACTGGTTTATTGACTTGTTCCTTGTCTGTGTCCCCCACGGTGGGCATCTGTGAGGGCTGTTCATAGGTTTTTCACCTCCTCCATGAAGCCCTCCTAGACCCCTTTCTCAGGCTGGGATGGGAGCCCTGAGCAGCCTGGTTCACTCTGGGTCTGTCTCTCCACTGGGCTGACTGTCCACCCAGGAGGGTGGGGCCCAGGCCTGTGCCCCAGCATCACTCAGCACAAGGTTGACGCTTCATGAATATTTGTTGCCTTAGTGAAGGCTGTCACGTGCTGGACTCCAGCCAGGCAGTGTGGAGGACAGCAATGAGTCAGCCCTTGTCATGCCCACAGGGAGTCCACAGGCAGGGACAGAAACACAGTTACCCAACACAGGTGATGATCAATGAAGGAATGCCTCAGAGGGATGGACCAAGGCCATGAAGTCACAGTGGGAGAGTCCTTTTGCGCCGTGCCAAGAGAGTGCTCCATGTGGGCACATCCGGCCCTGGTCTGGGTGATGCTGTGGGCGTGCCCAGGAGGTGGGGTCCACAGAGGGCAAAGGCCAGCCACCGGAACCAGGCAGAAGAAAAAAAAAACAAAACAACCATTTGCTCTGGAGTCGACCCCATAGATAGAATAGAGCTGTGCTGCACAAGGTTTCCAACGGCGGATTTTCAGAGTGGATCACAGGCCTTTCTTTCAAGACACCTCTCACTGGATTTGAGCCGCCAATCTTTTGGTTAGCAGAGAGCCTGTGAACCGTTCGCACTACCCAGGGGTCAGGAGCCAGATAGAAATGATTCTAATCCCAGCTCTGCCCCTTTCCATGTGACTATCCGCCGCCCTCTCTGAACCACCGTTTCTTTATTGCTAACGTAGAATCAATGCATTGTGGGATTGCCTTGGGGATTAAATGAGGTTGAAAAGCTTAGTGTCATCCTGATGGCTCTTTTTCTGATGCCCCATATCCAATAAGCTGAGAGATTGTTTTGGCTATGCCTTTAAAACCCACCTAGAATCTACTCCTGCCTCCAGGACCCTGCCCTGGTCCTGTCTACCCTCACCTACTACCTGTACATCGTAGCTCTCCATCCCTGGTCTCCCTGCTCCCACTCCTGCCCACGATCTGTTGCCCTCACCACCAGGGGCCCCTGTGAACACCTAAGACAGTCTCATCCTTGCCCTGCTCACAGCCCTCTTACCGCTCCAGCTCAGGAAAAGCAGAGTTCTCCCTGTGGCCCCTGTCACCTCCCTGCCCTCACCTCCCACCACTCAGCCCCTTCATTCACTCTGCTGCAGCCACATACAAAAACACGGCTGTTGAGTCGAATCCGTTGCGACCCCTCCTTGGGTTTCCGAGGCAGTATCACTATGGAAGTAAATTGCCCAACCTTCCTTCCGAGGAGTGGCTGGTGGGTTTGAACCACCAGCCTTCTGGTTATCAATCAAATGCCTTAGGCACTATGCACTATGCCACTAGAACTCCTGGTTTATCTATGGGTCTCCTCAAATACACCAGGCGACCCTCCTTCATTCACCTTGGCTATTCCTTCTGCCTTGAGCCTCTGTTCCCCCAGGCAGCTGCGTGGTCCCCGCCACCCCTTCTTCAGGTCTTCCGCTCAATCTGACCTTCTCAGTGAGACCTTCTCTGATCACCTTACTTCAGACAGCACCTGCACCCTTCACTGCCACCCCCACCTCCCATCCCCCTTCCTTGCTTTATTTTCTTTCAAAGCACTTAGATCATGTGACCTACTCTGGGGCTCCATGGTTGATTATTTATCTTTTCTCTCCTTCCGACTATGACCTCCCAGGCCCAGGGATTTCTGCAGGCTCTGTTCACCCCTGTGGCCACTGTACCTGGTACCCAGCAAGGACTCAAACATTGGTGGAAGGAAGGAGGGAATGATAAATACGTGTAAGATGCTTAGCAGACCTGGTGCAGAGGGAGTGGAGCAGATCCTGGGAATGATGGTGATTTGGGTGAATCCGCTAAAGGCCTGGCCCTGGGGGAGCTCTCCTCGCAGGGTGCGTGGGACACAGCACGTATGGCAGGTTGCGACACCTGTGATATGTGACATACACAGGGAGTCACAGGCTGCAGGGCCAGAGACCCTGAGGCATTCTAGGAGGCCAAGCTGAGCAAGGGTTCTGAAGGCCACGCAGATGCAGCGAAGGACTGCAAGGCCTGGGGGTCGGACATCACTCGTCTTACCACCTGCTTGTGTCAGAGAGGCAGGGGGATGCTTCTGCATCTCTGGGTCCACTCGTTTAACAAATATTTGTTTCCTAAAGTCCTTTGTGGGAGCTTTGGTAGCGTAGTGCCTAAGGCACTTGACTGCTAACCAGAAGGCTGGCGGTTCAAACCCACCAGCCACTCCTCAGAAGGAAGGTTGGGCAATCTACTTACGTAGTGGTACTGCCTCGGAAACCCAAGGAGGGGTCACTATGAGTTGGGTCCATCTCAACGCCACATAACAACAACAACAACAAAGTCCTTTGTTACTGAAGAAGCATTGGTGGCTCATGGTAGGATTCTCATCTTCCATGTGAGACCTGGTTTGATTCCCAGCAAAGTCACCTCATCTGCAGCCCCTGCCTCTCTGTCAGTGGAGGTTTGTGTATTGCTGTGACACTGAACAGGTTTCAGGGACACTTTCAGACTAAGAGGGATTGGGAAGGAAGGCCTGGCCAGCCGCTTCTGAGAATCACCAATGAAAATCTTACAAATCCCAACAATCCAGTTTGCAACCAATCATGGGGATGGTGTGGGACTGGACGGCATTCCGTTGCATTGTGCTTGGGGTAGTCATGAGTGGGAGCCAACTTAAGGGCAGCTGACATTTGTTCTGCTCTCGTCCATCAGTTCGTTGTGCTGTGTTGGCTTGCGTGTTGCTGTGAGGCTGCAGGCCATCCCACCCATATTTCGATACCAGCAGGGTCACCCATGGTGGACAGGTTTCAGAGGAGCTTCCAGACTAAGACAGACTGGGAAGAAGCATGGAGCCATCCACTTCTGAAAAAATTGGCCACTGACAATCTTATGAATAGAAGTGAAACACTGTCTGCTATATTACTGGAAAACTTTATGAGAAGCAGTGAAACATCGTCTGATGTAGTGCCGGAAGATGAGCCCCTTGGGTTGGAAGGCACTCAAAATACAGCTGGGGAAGAGCAGCCTCCTCAGAGCAGAGTCAACCTTAGAATGTGGATGGAGTAAAGCTTTCTGGACCTTCATTTGCTTATGTGGCATGACT